TAGTAGTAGTACTAGTACAGTAGTAGTAGTGGTAGTAGTAGTAGTAGTAGTAGTAGAAGGAGTAGTAGTAGTAGTAGCAGCAGCAGTAGCAGCAGCAGAAATACTATAGGAGGAGGCGGAGGAGGAGGAGGAGGAGTCACTCCTGCAGCAGCCGCAGCAGCAGCAACTTGTGACACTTGTGGCTCGTGCTGTTAACTGTTGCGGCTGCATCGCTGCAGTATTTGATGCAGAAGCGCAGGACGCGACATAATAAGAACAATATTGTCGCACCCGCTGTTTATCGCTGACCACCGCAAACAATAGAAGCTAAATGAATCAGATGTTGCCCTAAGTGTGCCACCCGGTTGGAGTACAGTCCTGATGCCATTGCGGAGTCTGTCTGACCTCTTTCTTCTGCTTCCAGAAGATGCGAAGGAGGTACACGTTCTGATCCCAACCTCTGATTTCGGATGGAGGAGTTGCTTCTTGCAGCTTTCCAGCTCCTCTCAATTAGCGTTCTGGGTCTGAGGAACAGAGAATGATCATGCCTTGAGCAAAGGAAGCTGCTGATGGTTCTGAAAAGTCAGTCATTTCGCTGCACATTTGCGGACCTGTCCCGAAAGAATAAAAGGTAGACTTTAGAATGTAAACAAAACTGCTGCCGTGCTGCCTACTCACATCACATCTCTTGCAACACTTCTTTTTGCAGTATACAGATCCCACTGCCCCTAGGAGGAAAAGCAGTTCACGCGCCTGACAGGCCGTCCAGGATCTTCCGCTCACACTGCGGCAAGCCAGGAATCGCAACAACACGAGCTTGTCATCGAACAGACTTTGCCACGAATGATAACATCTGCACCATGCATGCAAGTAGCTGGCGCATGCAAGGTAGCGCGATTTTGCGCCTTGGTTGCCGCACAGGTATACAGTAGCTGACCCTCAGTTCAATTAACCAGTTCGGCCTCTGCACGCTCTACAGTCAATCTCAAGCATCCACGCAGGGCGCAACGGTAGGAAGGCTATCAAGATGTTACTTCTATGAATTTTAGAGTTTTTTGGAATTTCTAGGAATTTGTAGGAATTGCTAAGAGTTTCTAGGAATTCATTTGGAATTTCGCGTGCCATCAATATATATATATATATCAGGATGCTGCGTTCGTGGTTTAAAGGCATGGAGACAGCGATTCTTGACACTCTAGAGGATCCTCCTCTTTCGCCGCTTAGTTTACAGTATAGGCTTTGAGACGCCGGCATAAAACCAATGCCTAGCGGCTTCGCATAGAGCGCTGGTCTGGCGAAGGCCAAACCAGCACCGAATTGACACAACGTAGGCTGTAGACACTGAAGCCAGTTATCGTGCGGACTAAACCTACGCCCTGACAACTGCATCCTCTGGATCAAGTGACTGTCAGCATAGTTCGAGAAGGCGATCCAGGATAGAACTTCCCCATCCTTGAGGCGACTGCTCAGGAAGCTCAGTGAGGACTTTGGGTATTTGGGGTTTCTGGCAAGACAAGCTTCAAGGGTTCATCGTGGATCATCGAGGTCCTATCCTTAGAACCTGTATCTCGGATCTTCGGAACACAAGCCCGAAATTGCTTCAACTTTGTGGCCCAGAAGAGAGTCTGCAACAGCTGAAGTACCCCTTCAACTGCAGTGCTACATAAGGAAAACCCAAGAGCCCTGTTCGAAGGTAAACCTTAAACCCTAAATTAAAGAGTAACTTCTCGAAATGGAACCCAGGTTTGGAACAAGCAGCACATTGCCCAAGTTCTGCGAACAAACCCGGACCCTAAAGTACAAAACTCCTTCAAACCCCGAAGCAAGGCCTTCCCCGGACGCGCAAGCCGGCGGTGGAAGATACCTGCTCGAAGGCTGTGGAAGCTTCAGGTCTTTGAACTTCTGTGTCTCTGTGTTTAGATCAAGGCTTTAGGGTTCAGGGTGTGCTGATGTAACGCTTCAGGAGCTTGTGTTCGGTTCCGATCGGTTCGGGCTACTACAATACAATACTGGGAATCCTGGCGTCCGAAGCCGTAAAACCATCTCTTACCATCCGCTAGCATTCGTCAGATCGACTGCCCCGAGCTGAGAAACCAAAACCCGCGCACACCTCCAATCTCCTTGCTTCCCGAAATGCGAAGATGATTGCGATGCACAGCCAGCTTAGCTTCCCCAATGCATGCGGATACTGTCACGCACGGCAGAGGCGCTGCGATTGGAGCTTCAGGCGCCCGGGCCCCAAGTCCACTTTTATGATAGCCTAAGATACCTCTACCACCAGTTCATGTGACCCGCTATCACTCTGCAGTGAGTGTCACGCAGTCCTTCCAGCGAGGGGAAGTCCAAGAGCTTCAGGAGACCAGCTGACTGGCCCAAGGCCAACATGTCGCCTCCCAGAGGTGGTAGTGGCGAGGCAGGTGGCAGTGTTGCAGCGAATTCGCATTCGTCGGTAAGTATAGTCTGAGGAATGCCCACACCACAAGCCGCTGGGTGTCTGCAACACGCCTGGAAGAAGTCACATGCACTAGCTGGGGACCATGTGCATCCTTTGACCCCTAAACCTTGCGGACACCAGTCTTGCGCACTCTTCCACCCAAATCCTTCACCCAGCTCTCTGCACCACAGCCCCCGCCCTGCTTCCACATTGTGCAGGACAGCATGGACACAGGACACACAAGTCAACACACTCACCTCATGCCGGAAAGCCCAAACGAATCACCTGACTTCCAACGGCTTTAAGTCAGGTGTTTTGGCAACCTCAAAAGCTGCACAAAGAAGCTCCGCAACTGTTCTGATTAACTAGGGCACAGGGCTGCACTGCACCCTATAACCGTAAACCCTCAGCAGCGAACAAGGAAAACCAAACAACACATCCCTACCCCACCTGGCCTTCGGGGGAGAAGGCAAGGCTGCGGACGGCGAGGTCCGACCGGTACATCTTGTGGAGGAGGGGCCGCTTGGCCTCCAGGGAGTCGCATGGGTTTATCAAAACATGGCACCGGCCAAAGACTCCGTGCATAGCTGCAGCCACTTATCACTGCCTGTACTGGTCTCGTTTTGCAGTTCTACTTCTGGTCGCGACGGTTCATAATGCAAGCACGACTTCCTTAGCCGTAGGCCCTAGTCTTCCACAGAAGGCCTCCAAGTCCCAGAAGTGAATCACCTGGGCAGCTGCGCTGTGCCGCTGCAAACTGCTGGGAGCTGCGTGTGGGGGAAACGTTTCTGTCTTGTCCGAAGGTACCATGCTCGATCCACAACGGGTCAAACCAGAGATCTGAACCATGAATGCAAAACCTCTTTAAATGCCATTGCCCAACATCACTTCTCGCCCCCTTCCCCCTTCCGAACAAAAGTCTGATCGGGCTGGGTACAACGTGACCCGGGTATAACTTCCAAACTAACACAAAATTTCCACCACGCAACCTAAAAAATCCTAGCAATGTGCTCCGGGCACACGTCCATAGACATTGCAGGCAAAACCGGCATCAATGATCGCCCCTGAGCCCTCAAACTCAACAGCCGAGTGGCACCCCGCTCGTCGCCGGTGGCGCAGAGTTCTAGGATCTTCGGGTGCGGTGCGAGCGCAAAGGCTTCGACCTTGTGACCCACCTCAGAACAATCCGGCCTACGGGCTTCGAGTGTTTGCCAGGCCTTATAACTTTTGTCGTCATGTTTGCGGGTGATGCACCTTGGCTCTGTACTGCATATGGCATCCTCACCCACATCCTAACTCCGGAATCCTAGGACCCTAAGAAATGGGCGGGGCATTTTCCCACCCGAAAGGCTCCTCATGCTGGCTGTCCTGCTGGGGGTCTTTTTTCGCGCCCTGTTGAGATCCTCAAAGGGTTTGGGGAATCTTTGAGGCGGGCACAAAACTACCGAACCGGCCATACAGGGGTTTTTCACGCCCTGGGTTTGGTGTTCTATTGCCGAAGGAACAAAAGAATCTTTAAGGAGGCCGAAAACAACCTAACAGGCCGTAAAGGGTTTTTGTTCGCTCCCTGGGTTTGGGGACCTAAGGTCGAAAGAACAAAAGAATAAAGAGACACAAGACAGAGAGACAAACAGATGGAGAGACCAGAGACACAGAAGTACCGGGAAAGAAAGAGAGGGTGACAGAAGGGAAAGACAGAGAGAGAGAGAGAGAGAGAGGGAAAGACACAAAACGAGACGGAGGGAAACCAAGAGCCACGGGGGAAAGCAGAAGTGACAGAAAGAAGACAAAAGGAAGAGAGAAAGAGAGAATGAGAGACAGAGAAACAAAGACCGACAGAGTGTCGGAGAGACAGACAGGCAGGCAAAGAGGAAGAAAGGAAGAAGGCAGGGAAGCGGAGAAAAAACAACAGGAAAAGGGCCGGCTAAAGGAAGCGAATCACAGCAACGAAGGGCAGCGACAAGGACTGGAACGGCAAGGAAGGGAAGGGAAAGGAAAGGAGAGTTGGGGGAGGGGCGGGGAAGTTGCCAAAGGTCACCGAGCCGGAAGCCTCCGAAGGGCAGGAGGCCCGTGAGGGCAAGGAGCCTGTCACAAGGGCACAAGGCCCAGGAGAGAACAAGGAACAAACCGCTCGAAAATTACTAGGAAACTTGAGAACACAAGAGGCAAACCGCTCGAAGGAGACTAAACAATTTTGTGAACGAGGAGCACGCCGCCAAAAAAAACTAGATAATTTTGTAAAACAGGAGCCAATTGCTCAAACTGACATAGAGAGACTCGGACCTAACCACTCGAAAGCAACTAAAGGCTTTGAGGAGAAGGAGCAAACACTAGAGAGTTTGAGAACAAAGGACAAACCAAGCGAAAGAGACTAGACAATTTGAGGAAAAGGAGCAAACCGATCGAACAGCACTAGACAATTTAAGAACACAAGGAGCAAACTGCTCGACTGAGACTAGAGAACTTGTGAACAAGGAGAAAAGCCACTCGAAAGAAACTAGAGAATTTCAGAACAAGGAGCAAACCGCTCGACAGAGACTAGAGGATTTCGAAAGAGACTAGAGAATCTGAAAACACGGAGAAAACAGCTCGAAAGGAACGAGATAATTTCAGAAGAAGAGGCAAACCGCTCGAAAAAGACTGGAAAAATTCGAAAGAGACTAAGAGAAATTGAAAACATGGAGAGAACCGCTCGAACGGAACTAGAGCATTTGAGGAGGAGGACCAAACCGCTCGAAAGAGACTAGAGAAATTGAAAACAAGGAGTAAACCGCTCGAAAGGAACTAGAGAATTTCAGAACAAGGACCAAACCGCTCGAAAAAGAGACTAGATCAATTCGAAAGAGACTAGAGAAACTGAAAACAAGGAGCAAACCGCTCGAATGCAACTAGAGAAGTTGAGAAGAAGGAGCAAGCCGGTCGCCGAAAGAGACCAGAGATTTTCCAAAGAGACTAGAGAATCTGACAACAAGAACAAACCGCTCGAAAGGAGCTAGAGCATTTCAGAAGAAGGAGCAAACCGTTCGAAACAGAATAGGTATTTCAAAAGACAAGAGATTCGGAAAACAAGGAACAAACCGCTCGACAGAGACTAGAGAAATTCAGAACAAGGGGCAAACCGCTGGAAACAGAGTGGGGAATCCCGAGAGGAACCTCGGAGTTTGAAAACAAGGAGGAGCAAACTGCTCGAAAGAAACTAGAGAGTTTCGGAAAACAGGAGCAAACCGGTCGTCGAAAGAGACTAGAGATTTTCCAAAGAGGCTAGAGAATCTGACAACAAGGAGCAAACCGCTCGAAAAGAACTAGAGAATTTCAGAAGCCGGACCAAACCACTCGGAAAAGACTAGAGAATTTCGAAGGAGACTAGAGAGATTGAAAACAAGGAGCAAACCGCTCGAAAGGAACTAGAGAATTTGAGAAGAAGGAGCAAACCGGTCATCGACAGAGACCGGAGATTTTCCAAAGAGACTAGAGAAATTGAAAACGAGCAACCCGCTCGAAATGTACTGTACTAGAGCATTTCAGAAGAAGGAGCAAACCGTTCGAAAGAGACTAGAGAAATTCGATAGAGACTAGAGAACTTGAAAAAATTGAGCAAACCGCTCGAAAGAGACTAGAAGGTCTGAGAACACGGAGCAAACAGCTCGAAAGGAACTAGAGAATTTCAGAACAAGGAGCAAACTGCTCGAAAGAGACTAGAGAATTTGAGAACAAGGAGCAAACCGCTCGAAAGAGACTCGAGAGTTTGAAAACAAGGAGCAAACCGCTCGACGGAACTAGAGTATTTGAGAACACGGAGGAAACCGGTCGAAAGAGACTAGAGAGCCCGCGAACAGCGGAAGCCCGAGGCCGGGAACGCGCGACAGTGATCGAACCCTGCGAATTCGGGCGATAGCGGCGCGTCTGGATGAATCCTTGTCAAGAAGTAAACAAGCCTTGTGTGGCCTGTCAAGGTGTTTTCCGCCTTCCTCGGGTTAGGAAGGCTTTTATCTCAACACCTCGGGCCCGAGGAATCTCGATCCGGGCTGCAGAGGGGCCACTGAAAGCCCTGTCCCCTGAGGGGAAGGTTTTTTTCGGTCATGGATACGTGGCAGGGTAAAAGAAAATCCCGTGCGCGGCCCTGTCCACGTTGGTGGAGAAACAAATCCCTGGACAGCACGGAGGGCTTTCTGCGCACTCTGTCCATGTGAGCTCGAGAAGCTGTTGAGCGCCGGGCCTACCCGGCCTACCCAGGGCGGAGAAAGAGCCTTTCCGACAGCACCCAAAATAAAAAGCCTACGGAGACTAAACAAAAACCCAAGCCCCCTACGAATCTGCAGCCCTAGCTGCTAGATGCAAGCTCCCCAATCCTCCAAACCTTGACCCTCCAGTGGTTCGAGTCGGAGCCTGGCTTCTTGTCACCCCAGGCGGTCCCAAAGTTCAATCCGGAAGGTTCAGAGATAGGGTTCAGGCCAGTTCAGGGTTCAGGGGCCTCGGAAAAAAATTCACCACAGAGCTTCGCCTTTCTGCTGCTCCTCCGGCGTGTCGTGCCCTGAACACTCGAGCTAAACCTGAAGCCCGAAAGACCTAGACTTAACCCCTAAAGATCAACTCTAAACTTAAGAATCTATGAGTAGGTAAAACCCTGAAAACCCAAGGCCCTGGAGTCGTAAACCTTCCGAAACCCCAACCCATCCGGCAGCCTGCAAAACGCGAAGCAGCCGACGGCTAGATCCTGTTCTCAATCCCGGTGCTTCAGGTATTTAAGCTTTTCCGTGTCGGAGCCTGGACCCCACGTGTCCGGACCTCACTTGATTCCGGGAATATCGCGTTCCATCCCTGAAGCCTGATACCAAAACTTCAAAATGATGTCTTCTAGACTCCGGCATCCGAAATGCCCACACCTGCTCCCACCGGCTGGACCACCCCAACACCAGAAGCTCAAAGCATTGTAAAGCCTTAAGCCTATCGCCTGAAGCCCAAGGATCCGAAAGCCTCAGCACAACATGCTGAAGCTCAGACCCAAAACCCGAAAACTCCAACCACCCTAATTTAAGGACCCTAGTCATTAGAATAGGATTTGGGGTATATCATACTACAACTTTGGGGTATATCATACTACAACTCCAATACGGAACTCCCTTAATGGTGTAGGCACTTCTTAGGGCTCCCATAGAAACAGCATCCCTCCAAAGGTTCACCCCTCCCCGACTAACGTCCGGTCCTTCTCGAAGGCCAAGGTCCAAAAGAACCAGCACATGGCCGGCGGAGGCGGCTACACAGAGACCGCGCTCCTGGAAAGTGGACAATAGCAACGATACAAGTATCGGATACAGCAATAAGACTTGCATTACGAATAATAAGACCAACAATGACATTAAGCTTTAGGGATTGAGACAGGGACTAGGGTTTAGAACTCAGTTGTTCAGGGCTTAAGAGCAAAGTGGAGCTGAAAGCTTGGGCTTCATTTTGTGACAAGGCAATGAGGCAATGTGCCCTCAAAACGCAGAGAAGGATCAGGGCGAAGTGACCCCATTTCCGGGTCACTTCGCTCGACTTTCCTACATCGCCTCTACGCCCGATGATTTTAAAGGTGTTGAGGACCAGCGGGGCCGTAAGGATTCCGGTTTCAGCAGTCTCGATCATTTGGCGTGGGCACCTGCGGATTCAATGCTGGGGACATCTTATTGAAGGGCATCTGCAATCAACGGGAACTATCGCATGCCCGGGGACAACGACCGATGCCATGAATTTTTCAATCCGACACCGAACATCCTGCAGGATTGAATGAGCACCGTGGTCGATGAGTGTCCGACTATTGTGCTTTGGTGGCTCCATACTAGTCAGTCGTGTAAATTACTGTGTAAAACTACCGGTCAAGGTTTCGGCTCCCAGCATTAGGGCATTAGGGCTTGCGTTTAGGATTCAACTTCATCTGCCATGCCAGTTCCTGAGAAGGACAGAAACTCGACAGTGACGAGCAGAAGTTACACTAAACCCTCTCGAAACCATGATTTTCGCGAATGAGAGCCCGCTAACTTTGATAACAGCCAAGCAGCATTGACTTGCAAACTCTTCCAGTGGGGACGCAAATCTTTCGGCCAAACCTTCAAGCGAGTCTTGGTAACATGTGTTCAACAAACAACTGCGTGGTGGCAACTTCTACGAACAAAGGTATCATCAATACCTGGTCGTCTGTTCTTGTGTCACAGCCCTCAGCCGACGTTGTGATGAAGGCTCTTGTCCTTGCTGCTGGCGCTGTAACGATTGCGGCTCCTTTCGTCATGTGCATAGGTCGGTTGCAGTATGATCTGCATGCAAAACACGAGTTAGGATAGTGAGGAAGCTGAGACAAACTCCTTTAGCATGGCAGCGCGGTAATAGTGAGCACCTCCAGAACCTCCCGACCCCGCATTAAACAAATCCAAACGGTTCCAAAAGCATACACACGACCCTACTCCACGAATCTCGCTCGACCCAGTGGACGAAGCTGACCGGCTCGCAAAACTGCCTGGACCCTCAATTCGTGAAGCAAGAATAGAGCCCTCCCCCGGCTTGGCACAAAGCGCATGCTCTCTACCTCCTGTATCTCTTCAAGTGGCGCGCGGTAGCACAACAAACAAACGTCTGCAAATGGAACGAGGACGTGGCGAGCGAAAAATCTCAGTAAGCTCAGTCATGGCTGAGAAAACCTTGCTGCAAGCCAGTCTCCGTGAGCTCATGGAGTCCCAAAGCCGCAAGTCTGTATGATCAATCGATTTCACGACTGCCGGCTCGATTATGTTAGCATATGGGAGGTAGGTATGTATGTATGCATGTATGTATGTACGGCAGTATGCATAGAAATAGAAACATATTTTAATTCGTCGTCGCTCGTATAAATAAATATAAGTATAAACATAAATAAATAAATAAATATATATATATATATTTTTATAGACATGATTTTGTTTATTCATTCATTCATCCATTCATTCATGCATTCATTCATTCGTTCGTTCATTTCATTCACTGATATGTACATATATATATATATATGTATGTATGTATGTATGTATGTATGCATGCATGCATGCATGCATGCATGCATGCATGTATGTATGTGTAGAGAATAAGAGTATAACGGTTCATATCTGACTACCACGATTGGCTCCCGGAGTGAACTTTGGTCGAAGCAAGCATCTTGCGATACGATGTAGTTCTTTACTGCGTGTTTCTGAGACGCTTCCCTTCTCGAGGTACATGGTCAAAAGAAGTCAAAAGCCTCCCCTGTGTATCTTGAGCGACGACACGTGCAAACCTATACGTAGACTAACCAGTCACAGTTACAAACTACTCCATCTATCTCTATGTGCCCAACAGAGAACACGGGGGGAGGGAGGCAAATAGCGACCAAGGAAAGACCGCAAAGAAACAGTCAGCGTTGCTGCAGCCGCCTGGTTCGGCTCCGCAGGAACCTCCCCCAGATTGAAGCGGACGATGATACAAGGTCTCAGCGGTGCAGTTTTCTAGCTCAGAATTCAGGGACGCCCTGCAGTAAGACCACGGTTCCTGGCTCGGCTGCTAAATTATACTTCCGGTTACAGTCTTGAGACAGCGGGGTGCCTTCGTCGAGGACTTCATTCTCAATCCTATACCTTCGCACTGTAACCCAGAACCAACCCCAAAGCCAGAAATACTATCGTCGAGAGCTGCTGCTACAACACGACCGACTCAGGATTTGGACGCGATAACACATTTCTGTAGACCCGAACTCCACATACTAAGGGCTTCAGGAACCCATGCCCTGAATCTGAAACCCTCTGATGGCTTCTATTGCGTTTGTTATTCTTCTTGTTTTGCCGCTTGTGCTACAAGTAATCGCATTCTGCTGCTATGATTATGATGATACATCTGAACCCAGAACAGAAATTCTGTGCGCCCCAAACGCTTGATGGAGTTGCAGGAAAGTTCAACGTCTGTCTGTCTACCTATATCTGTTTGTTGTTTAGAGACCTGGATGTCCGGCATGAAAAAGCCCTCAACCCTAAACCAAAAGCTCGGGCTGTGGGTTTATGGGGTTTGATGCTTGCAGGTCTGGGTCAGGGCGACCGCTTTCAGTCCTCCTTTCAACCAGCTCTTTGACACCACGAAGGATCTCGAAAGCATCCCCAAGCCGAAAGGTCCAGTTCCCAGATTCGCCAAAAACCCGCAGCCCTTGAACCGGCGAATTCACAATCCGCCTCAACAAAAATCAAAAACGGTTGCAACATCAGGATATGCTGTCATCATGGCGCCCTGAACATGCAACCCTAAACCTTAAAGCCTAAATCCGTAACCGAAAATCCTAACATCCTGGGCCCTGTCATCGGCCTGTGCCCCAGCTTCTGCTTCTTGCCTCGAATGGCCTCCTCCTTGCGAACTGAGGTTTTGGGGTTACGGCGTGTCTCAAATCCCAAGGAGCCCTCTCAAGTGACGAGGGGTAAGAGTCCAAAGTTCAAGTTTGCCAGAAAGATGTAGTTTCTGAAGGCAGCTTGCTTAGTTGAGAAGCTATGGGTCGAGCGCGAGACGGAACACAACACCCATACTAGCTTTCTCCAGAGCTCTTGCATTCCAAGGCCGTGAGGCCCCAAAAACCTTCAAGGAACCAGCCCTAAACCCTAGTTAAACCCTAAACACTAATTGAACCCTCAACTTGCCCTAAACCCTCAAAGCCTACAGCCCTGCCTGCTCCGTGCGGCCCAGCATGAAGCTGCCATCGCTGGCGCCAACAGCAAAGTGGAATGCGGAACCTGCACCAGCAGAGGATTTAGGGTTTAGCATGCTGGTGCTTGCATACCCTTACAGTACGCCCCAAGCAAAAACAACTACAATCCTCAAGCCACTAGGCCGGACACCACATAACCTTACCCACCGACCCATGCTAACGTGCTTCTCTGACTTTTTACTCGATTCCATCTTGCCTTGCTCTCGTGACACGGGCGCGACACAGAAAGGCCGGTGTCGAAACTGCATGTCGTGTGCGTGCTTTGGCCGGCTGCTGCCTTAGCCATACTATTTATAGTATTACCGACCCAAAACTAGAAGGGTATTCCTCTCCGGGGCCTTCAAAAGTTCATAATCTCGTGTCGTCGGCACGAAGAGACCGTGTGCTCAAGCGATGCCCTGGCCCTTCTGCATCTCGCTGCTCATCACCCCATAGACCTCAGCCCAGGACTCTTTGGTTTCTGGCGTCCAGAGCCCCTTCGGCTCCAGCACCTTCTCAAGAACAGTCAGCAAGGTTTTGCCTGCTGCGTCGTAGTGCTCCTTGGTGACGTCGTGGTAAGCGTGCCGCTCACCAAGGTAGTTCAGCACCGGGATCAATGTGGGGATGTCGTCCAGGCCCTTCACCGCCTTGTCCACTGTCTGGGTGAAGCCCGCGACATGCTTATCGAACTTCTTCTGCTCGGCCTCATTTATACGGTCGCCGAAGCTGAAGAGGTCTTTGGTGGACTGATCGGCCTCGAACAGAGCGTCAAAGATCACCGTACCCACGGCCGTCAGTGTCTCCTTGGAAGTGTCTGGGCAAACTTCGGCCCAAGAACTTTGGACGAGATCCTTGTCGAGCGCAGACCGTGCAGTCCTTGTGGAAGAGAGTGCAGCACGCGCCCCAGCGAAGGCATAGCTGGCACGAAGGCCAGCTGCGCAGAGGGCTGCAACAGCCAGCAAGGCGAACCTAGTACGCCGGCGAGCGGGGACTGCGGACATCGCGACAGAGGCAAGAAAACACTTTCAGAACCTCTGTGGCCGCGTTAACAAAAGGCAGTCGAGCAGCTTTCCAAGATATTTCAAGAAGCCCTCCTTTTGAAATCATCGTGGCATCTGCAAACTCCGTTCATGCAGAGCAAGCCAATTCCAGCTCAAACCATGGGAACCAACACCCACAGCAAAGCTGCCAAGCCTCTGCAATGGTTCAGGGGGACTGCACAACCAAGGGAGCTGGAGACAGACGCAGAGTTGTGGCAGGTTCCTCCCTCCACCTTCGGTTGGAAGCCGGAAGACGTCAAAAGCTGGTGAACTTTCGGGGATGTTCGGAATTGCGAGTTTTGGATATGGGATGTTGAGTGCAGGGTCCCCATAGTCATAGTAGTAATAGTAGTAGTAATAGTCATCGACGACGTCGTAGTCGTGGTAGCAGTAGTTGCAGTAGGAGTAGTAGTAGCAGTACGTCGCAGTTGTCGTAGTAGCCGCAGAAGAAAAAGAGGAACAAGAAGTAGAAGTAGTAGTGGTAGTGGTAGTGGTAGTGGTAGTGGTAGTGGCAGTAGTGGTAGTAGTAGTAGTAGTAGTAGCAGCAGCAGTAGCAGTAGCAGTAGCAGTAGCACTAGCAGTAGCAGTAGGAGTAGGAGTAGGAGTAGGAGAAGGAGTAGGAGTAGGAGTAGGAGTAGTAGTAGAAGTAGTAGTAGTAGTAGTAGTAGTAGTAGCAGTAGTAGTAACCGTAGTGGCAATAGTAGTGTTAGTGGCAGTGGTAGTGGTCGCGGTCGTGGTAGTGGCAGCGGTAGTGATAGTGGTCAGAAGTACTTGAGTGATTGTTGCTGCTGCTGCTGCTGTTGTTGTTGTTGTTGCCAACAGCCTATCTCCACGACGGCATAGTGTGACAATCGACGCTACTGCCGTCGACAACATCATTGCATATCGCTCCCATCACTGCCGTCGTTTTCAGTACATGCTACTGCATGACATTCGTCGATTCGTCGCCTCAGTCGCTAGTCATTGTGGGTTGAGAAGCATACTGCATCAGAAAGAGAAGGCGGCAAATCGTCCTAACCATCCGGATAAGCTCTGAGAGCAGGACGTTGTAGAGGTGGCCATCTTTGCCTCTGCGCGGTATGAGGCGTAAGTTCGAGAGCATGGCCCAGGCGTGCATACTGAACACCGGGCTGGGCAAGACATCTTTGCACATGTGCAGCCCGAGACACCGCACATGAGAAGATGCCCCTGATCAACGTAAGCAACGTAAGTCATCTGCTGCTGCGGATTCCTTCGGACGGCGACATGAAGGAAGCTGTCGGGCTTCGGGGGTTGCTGCAGATAGCTTACATCACCGAACTGATGCAGCGATATGCTCCAATTTCGGCAAGCAAGACCAGCCGTCTAAGCACCGGATGAGTGACTCATTCCTCAGACAGAATGGGCTTCGTAAATCTTCAATAACTCCGCCTCAAAATTCAACGCCAGCTACAAATCGCCTTTGTGATGCCTGATCAGCCTGGTGACTGCTTTTCATGGCTAACATTGCAGCTTTTCTCAATCCATCTTCCCTCTACACATTTTCTCCACTATATAATTTAACATAGCCTAGCAACTGAAGAGTCACAAACACTCACGGACTCACAACCTCCGACACTTCACCCGAATTGGTGCCGCCACGGCTCTTGCCAAAGACCACAGAGCTACTTTTTACCTCATGTGTGGCTTGCCGGTACCTTGAACCGCTGTGCAGGGATGAGCAAAGTGGATCGAGGAAGCAACTCATAACCTGAAGCCGAAACAACTCAAGGGGTGCAGCTAATGGAAAGCACGGGTCACGGGGGCCTGAGAAGTACAACAAGCTAGCTACACCAACGCAGCAGGATTTTGTCCGCCCAGATCGCTAATTCGGGTCAGCACTGCTTCATTTTGCGGCGACCCTCTGCGAAGAAGACCCAGCCCCGTGAATAGCTAAGACATGCCTGATAAGGGTGTGTGACATGACCTCACATGATGCTAAACAACTACCCATCTGCTGCTGGAGCCCTAACCCACACATCTACAAATTTTACTTGAAAAACGAGTAGACAGACCAGTTCTAGCCAAGATAGCCCAACACTTCAGTTCGCACTTGCGGAACCGACCTAACTTGAAATAAATAGAAGCGATGCACTAATCGTCAACCTGAAGATGCACTAATCGTCAACCTGAAGTTCATGGGTGTCGGGATAGGATATGTTGATATGATACCGTTTTGTATTCGTTGAGCTCTGATTCGCAATTCGGCGCCAGTGTAACCGTTTCGGTGCCGGTGTAATTTTGCTCGCAACTTTGCACAAAAACGATGTGTCTCCTTGCAAGGCTTTAGCACGCCATGTTGAACTAAGGGGGGCTGGGCTGGGCTAAAGCCCAGCATGAGACAAAGACCTCGGGGTGTCAGGCGAAGTTCGACGGTCAAAGCTCTGACTGCAGAGCCCGACAGCATTAAGATTTAGATTTTAAGTTTCCCGGCTTTGGGGTGCCTGGGTCCAGAATTCAATCCTAAACATTGACTTGAAAGACCCCGAAAGGAGACTCCAAGATCACCTGTCATGCGCAATCCTCTCGATCTCGAAGACAAACCAAGTATAAACCTGCTGCTCGAAGCCTTATGGTTCAGATCCTTACCCCAAAACCCGGAATATAATGTAGTATAATGATATAGTATAGTATAGTACACATGAATGTAATATATAACATTAAGGGTACTTTATGCCTGAAACCCTTCTTTAGCCAGGAGGCTCCCAAAGCTTTACCGCCGTCTTCGTCAGCGCCGCAAAGCGGAATCCTCCATCTCCGTCGAAGGGATTCGGTACCATCATCTCCTCAATGATAGGCTTTGGGGCCTTTTGGGGCTAAAACGGGCCGAGGCCGGATCACTGAAGGGGGTCTGGGCAAGGGTGGCATGCTTGACAGCTGCTTTGTGTAGACGCTTTCTCTCAACACCCGAAAGAAACCCCGAAGACTATCGCCGTAAGGCGAACATGAAGGCAGCTCCGGCCACAAACCCTAGAACGATAATATGGGTAGTTCTCTAGATTAGGGTCCCCCTTCTAGACTCCCTATTTCTTAGGTCCCCAATGTAGGCGGCTGTCTTGTTAAAGCTCTATAGCATGAAAGTCATCTCTGCACCTGAAGAGTGCCAGTCAGCGAAGTCTTCATCAACACTTCTTGGAGTTGTATTGCTTTGGGTGCTACAGTAAGCCGGTCCGAGTTCAAGGGGCTCATGATTCTGTGTAACTCGTCCACGGGATTCCAATGCAGGGCTGTAGGCCTTGCACCACGTCGAAATTAGCTCGCTACGAGGATGCAAAACTGTGATCGGAGGCATGACAAACCTGCGAACAAGCACAGCTCGCTTGCTCGCTTCAGTAAAGAGACCCTGCCGCCCAAGGCTCGCATGGGTTTCCCCCGGGCCCGATCAGCAGGGCGGGTACCTTGATGACCTGGGTAGGCTTTGGTTATAGTTGTAGTTTGGGGTCCCAAAGTTTCGTGGTGGTCTGTGGCGGTTTAGGGTGACCGGTCGCGAACAATCATGGACTTTCAGGGCTTCAGGGCCAGCCATGTAGGCGAAAAGCTTCCTGATTCGTTCTGTGTCGGGTGTCGGTGTTAAGGGTGCAGCCTTCAAGATTTACGGTACGCTGGCACAGAGTTCCCGGGAATGTTAAAGTTTTCATGACTGGGTATGTTGCGCTTCCAGGAAAAGTTTGATTCCAGTATCATGGTTATAGGTTTATCGCCCACCAAGCAAGGATAGTTCCAGTATCATGTGAGGGCTTCTTGAGATGACTCCGCCGACGCACTCGTGCCGAATGTACTTGCGAATTCTCGACGACAGGACATGCTTACCAAAAACAGAAACACAGTTCTTGGAAGCACAGGGCTTTAGTAGAGGAGTGTTGGGAGATTGTTCAGAGCTTCTGGATGAAAATTCGTGGACAAATCCAGGCACTGCGAGGCAGAAACCTCCACCGACTTTGCAACACCCATCAGCAGTTTGGATGTCGTTCCGCCGCCTGCATCAGCTTCGGGCCACTGCGATGTGGAAGTCGCACGTTTCCGGGGAGTCCCACACTAGCAAGCTGCGACCACTCAATATCTAAGCGAAATCTTTGCACCGACGGATCGCGCCGGTGCATCTGGTCGAAATGGCGCCTCTAGGCCATCAAGAGCATTCGCTGGAACTGCTCGTGCGTGTTGGATCGAAATGAAGCCAATAAGCTGGGACCGCGCTGCATTATGAGCATCAGCTGGGACCGCCCCTAGACATCTGACAAGCCCCACAACCCGGTATAATGAACATCCGTCTGCTGCGACGCCGGGTTTAATGCAATCTAACAGTCACGCATCAGCAGTGTAGCTGACCGAAATCGGGTCCCAAAGCCACACATCATGAGCATCAGCCGGGACAGCTCCGGTGTCTCTCGTCGAAAGCGGGCCACGCAGACGCGCATCATGTGCATCAGTTGGGACCATTCCTCGGAAGGACCGAGATCGTGCCTCAAAGCCAAGCAGTATGAGCATCAGCCGGGACCGCTCCAGGATATCTGCCGGACGGAGGGATGCGTCGCGAGCAGCTGGCAGCGTCCGTACATGTTCGACCGCTGCAACCAAGTACTGCAAGGGGCTGGGCCTGCTACAGCTACGCATCATGAGCAGCTGGGATCGTACCAAGGTGTGTCCGGAAACAAGCTGCGCAATCAAGCATTCTGAGCATTGCAACCGCTCCGGTGTACCTGATCTGAGACAAACCCAACCCCAACAACCATGCATTATGTGCATCAGTTGGCAGCACTCCTAGGACCGAGATCGGGATCCACTGCCACCCATGATGAGCATGAGCTGGGACCGCTCCTGTGTATGCGAAATCGAAGCCCAGGAGCCACACGTCATGAGCAAGCTGGGACCGCTCCAGCGTATCTGGCCGAACCGAACATCATGAGCAGCAGGTGCGCTCCGGTGTAGCTGGTCCAACTTGGAACCCACATCGACGCATCATATTGTATCTTATATACCAAAACCGACAAAAACCCACAACCAAGCATTACGAGCATCAGCTGGGATCGCACCTAGATATCTGAGCAAAACCAAGCAAGCATTGTGAGCATCAGCTTCGACCCTCCCGGAGTGGAAAACCTACAGCTTCGCATCATGAGCATGAGTCGGATCACGAGCATCAGCTGGGACCGCTGCGTATCTGGCAATATTGGGCCCCGGACACGCATCATGTGTGTCAGTTGGCAACATCAACGCCACACGTTATGAGCTTGAGTTAGGACCGCACCTGGACACCTGAACGAAATCCAACCTCAACCAGCTGCGACCGTTCCGCTGTGTCTGATCGACCCACAGCCACGCATCATGAGCATCAGCTGGAAATGCTCCCAATGTGAAACAACAACAACCAAGCATTATCAGCATCAGCTGGGACAGAACCGCTGTAACTGACGAAGATCGGGCACCCACAGCCACGCATCACGAGCATCAGCTGGGATCGAGCCTAGGAATGTCAGGAATCAACCAAGCTTACATCGCCTGCGACGACCGCTCCGGTGTGTTTGATCGGACAAAACCCAACAACCATGCATCATGAGCATCAGGGCACCACTCATGAGGCCGAGATCTGGCCTAAAGCCGCATCAGGTGGCACTGCTTCCTCCCGAAAGCAAGCATGACCTATCAGATGGGACCACAGCGATGCATCATGTTCTGTCTTGTTATCTTAGAATGAACCCCACAGCCAAGCATTATGAGCAGCAGCTGGGATCGTTCTTATGTATGTAGGAGCATCAGTTGGGATCGCTCCTCAGGATCTGACGGAAACCTGGGGTACCTGATCATACCTGACCGAAATCAAACCCACGCATCATGGGCGTCAGCTGCCAGCGCCCGTAAATGTTTGACCGAGACAAAACTCCACAACCAGCATGATGAGCATCCACTGGGCCTTAGCGGATGTACCCTGACTCAAATCAAATCCTACACAGCCATGCATCAGGATTTGATTATCAGTTGGCCACAGCACTGAACATTTCACCGAGACCGAGCACCTCGACCAAACATTATGACAATCAGCCGGAACGGCTCCGATGTACCCGACCGAATACAAACACCACACCCACGCGTCGTGAGCATCAGCTCCAGTGCGTCGGACACGCATAACTTGGGATAATCGCTATCCCGACATCGTGCCTTACGGCCATACATGGGCTGGAGCTGGGACTACTCCTAGACATCATGTCAGGAATCGGCGCAATCAAGAATTATGAGCAATTCGACCACTCAAGCGTCCGTGAACGGAAACAAACCTAGCGACCATGCATCATGTGCATCAGTTAGCAGCACTCCTGAGATCGAGATCGGGCTCCACAAGCGCGCGTGAGGAGCATGAGCCAGGACTGCTCCGGCGGTTCTGACGGACATCGACACCCAGCAGCCACACATGAGCAAGCTGGGGCCGCTCCGGCGTATCTGACCCTAACCGACTCCGGTGCACCTCACCGAAATTGGAAGCCACGGCGAGGCATCACAGTGAACGAACAAAAAGCGAAACCGACAGATCCCCACACGGCCAAGCGTTGAGCATCAGCTGGAAGCACTCCAATATGTCTGACCGAAACCAAGCATTATGACCCTACAGCCACGCATCATGAGCATCAGCTGCTCGCGGCCGTAAAGATTTTGCCGAAACGGATCATCAGCCGGCGCCCCGCGGTACTTGACCGAAGTACAAACACTACAACCAAGCATCATGAGCATCAGCTTGGACCACTCCCGGCGTACCTGAGCGAATTCAAAACCTACAGCGGCATGAGTCAGTTTGTCTGTTTTACCCGTGTGTACCTGTCAAGGCCCACTACCAGCAATCCTGTCTCGGATGCACATGACATGATGCGCGTTTGAAGCACCGGGGCGATCCCAGCTGATGCTTGTGATAAGTGGTTGTCAGCTACATCGGGGCGGTTCCGGCTGATGCTCAGAGTGCTTGGTCGTGGGGCTCGGTGAGTGAAATATTTACGGCCGCTGCGACCTGATGCTCAGGACGCTTGGCTGTGCAGGATGCGGTTTGAGTCAGGTACATCAGCTAAGACCCAGTGAACTGGGACGTTGATGCTCATGATGCTGGTTACGGGGCTAGGCCGCTATGAAACATTCACAGGCGCTGGCAGCTGATGCTCATGATGCGTGGCTGTTGAAAGCGATCTGCATCAGCTGGGATCGCTCCTACGTCCTAGGTATGTGAGCACGACAAGAAGTCAGAATCAGCTGCCGGGAATGCTCGGTGTACTGACAGAGATTGGATCCCACAGCCAGGCATCATGAGCGTCAGCGGGGATCGATCCTAGGAATGTCAAGAAACAACGCAGCCAACCAAGCATTATGAGCATTGCGACCGCTCCGGTGTATCTCATCGGAAAGAAATCCCAAACCCAACAACCATGCGTCATGAGCATGAACTGGGACCGCTCCGGCATATCTGACCCAAACCGATCATGACGAGCATCAGCTGCGACCCCTCCGGTGTACCTGACCGAACTTGTAACCCACGGCAAGGCATCATATTGTATCTTATATAGCAAAACCGACAAACCCCACGGCCAAGCATTATGAGCATCAGCTGGGATCGCTCCCAGGTATGTAAACAGAGCCCCACAAGAAAGCACGATCAGCATGCCCCGCTCCTAGATAGCTGACCGAGACCAAACCCACAAGCAAGCATTATGAGCAGCATCTGGGACACAGCCGTGCATCATGAGCATCAGCTGCCAGCGCCCGTAAATGTTGGACCGAGAAACGAACCCCATAAGCAGCATTGAGCGTCGCTGGGACTATAGCTGATGTACTACTATGATCAAACACCACAGACACGCATCATGAGCATCAGCCGGCAATGCGGCAACCAAGCATTATGAGCATCAGCCGGAACCCCTCCGATGCACCTGACCGAGATTACAATAACCACAGCCAGGCATCACGAGCATCAGCTGGGACCGCTCGGGTGTCAGGCACACATCATGTCATGTGCATCAGTTAGGATAACCCCTTTAATCGGCATCATCCCTCAAGCCATCTGAACGGACACCTCACCGAAATCCAACCCCAACCAAGCATTATGAGCATCAGCTGCGACTGCTCCGGCATACCTGAGAAACCACAGCCACGCATCATGATCATCAGCTGGGATTGATCCAGTTTAATCAGCGCAACCAAGCATTGTGAGCATTGCGACCGCTCCGGTGTATCTCGTCGGAAACAAACCCAAACCCAACAACCATGCATCATGTGCATCAGTTGGCACCGCTCCTAAGACCGCGCATGATTATCATGAGCTCGGACCGCTCCGGTTTATCTGCCGAAATCGAAATCCAGCAGCAAGCAGTGATTGCTCTGGTGTAACTCAGCCAAATTGGAACCCACTGCGACGCATCATGCCGTATTTTGTGGAACTATGGTGCAACCGAACGAACCCCGGAGCCAAGCATCATAAGCATCAGCTGGGAGCGCTCCGAAACCCAGTCCAAACCCTACAACCACGTGTCATGAGCATCAGCTGCTAGTGCCCGTGAGCGTTGGACCCACAACCAAACATCGTCAGCATCAGGCAGAACCACTCCGGTGATCCTGACTTTATCATAAAACCCCCACAGGCAAGCATCATGAGCCTTAGCCTTAGCTGGGACCGCTCCCAAAATCGGGCCTACGGCCACGCATCATGAGCATCAGCTGCTAGTGCCCGTTAGTTTGCGAGCGAGGCCGAACCCCATGAACGAAAGCGTGTCAAACACGCATGATACATCGTGACAGCCATACATTGGTCCTAGGCATTTGAGCGGACACTTGAGCGAAATCTACCCCCAACCATGCCTCCTGTGAATCTGATCGAAAGCCACGCATCACTGGAAACGCTCCTAATTATGTGACTACCACAACCAAGCATTATCAGCATCACAGGGACCGCCTCGCTGTACCAAATCGGAGCCCACAGCCACGCATCATGAGCATCAGCTGGGACCGTCTTGGTGTGCCTGACCGACATCAAACCCTACAGCCTCGCATCATGAGCATCAGCTGCGACAGACCCCCAAGATCTTGGATCGAGACCGAGCCCGATAAGCAGCATTCAAAGTGTGAAAGCGTGAGCCGGGACTCAGCTGATGGTCTTGAAATCCGACTATACAGGTATGCAACGGGGGCATCATCCGGCAACGACACAACCAAGCATTGTGAGCATCAGCCGGATTCGCTCCGATGTCTGTCCGAAATACAAACACCACAACCACACATCAGGAGCATCAGCTGGGACCGCTCCGGTATGTCTGGGCGACACCGTGCGCAGCAGACACGCATCACGTGCATTAGCTGAGATAAGCCTATGCTCAATGCGGTTATGGCGAAACAAGTCCCAAACCCTAAACCCTGTGTGTTGATGCTTTACACAGAAGCCAGGATGCTAAACAGCCCATTGACTTTGGATTCCAAAGCTCAGGGGCTGCGGCTGCTGGACCGATACTAGCTATACCCCTGCAAGATTCCATGGGAACACTTTAACGAGATGTCATGATCCCCACTGCTAAAGTCTAAACACCACACCCAAACGACTCTCAGCCGGCAGCATAAGTATGTGTAGGCTCGCTCTTGCGAGGTCGGGCCTGAAGTCTCCGGCTGCAGCTAAGGCAGCTTGTTGTGAAGTTTGCCGGTGTAGGGTTGAGCGGGTGGATGTAAACCAGAAGCAAATCCCAATGCTGTCTCCAAGCCTATGCACTCCGTTTGCGCCCCAGGATGGACAAGATGAAAGCAGCAACTGAGACGAGCGTTATGCCGCCCCCCCAATTCCGACTTTTCATCTCAATTCACCAGTCTGACTCGCGAAGCCTGTTCCAGTCAGGGTTGTGAGTTTAAGGTGTAGGATTGGGAGATATCTCACCTGCAGGCTCCTAAAATTTATGGATGCAGCAGCGGGGGTCTCCTCCCAAAAAGGGCCAGGCTTGGCACAGATGGTGTGTCCCTGCTGCAACAATCGCTTCAAGCTCCAGGAATCCCCTTGCGCATCGAAGAAAACAACTCGAAGCCTAGTGATGAAACTGCTAGCATCTCCCGGCAATGCGTCCTGGTCGCCACGTCTGCCGGCAGGTGGTAAAGACAAATACCTGTCATGTCTGACAGCAACATCGAAGTCCCATGAACTTCCCATTGCCACACTCAACATCACCAGCCTTAGCACCATAATTCTGGTCGCCGCCCCCCGGCCACAACAATGATGTCATCATCATGGTCAACCATCAGCATCACCGTCATAATACCTGCATACTCACCACTTAACAAGACTGCGCACACCACCATCAACGCCGCCGCCTCTGTCGCCCCAACCACCACCGCAAGTTTCAGGGTCATGATCATCATCACCATCATCGTCGCCACTGCGCTCGAGATGGAACCAAGGCTTCGATACGGTTCAGGCTTGCGCCGACAACTATTGACATCCTTGCCCCAAGCCGCACACGGGTTTAGGTCTTCGTTGGCTTCGCATGATGGACCAAGCGAGGCTCCAATGCAGCCGGTCAGGTTCGGTGGATCATGAATGTTGGTACTGTCATGACCGACCTTAAGTGCTCATTCCAAGAAGAGCCGGAAAGACTTTTCTTCTCATCCAGTGCTGACATAGCCGCAAAGCGGCCATTGCCTGCACACAGTTCCAGCGAGATGGGTCTTTATTGATATAACCATCACCGCGGTGTTTAAGATTCTCCAGCACTCAGGATATCATGGAAGCCTGTAGCCTTACCATGCAGAAACGAAGGTGTCTGATTTGCATCGCAAAACATCAACAACAATGGACCTGGAAAGAGCATGTACAAGCCTCACCCCTCAGATCCTGCTGCACAAGCCTCGTTGGTCGTAGGTTTCTTCCGACAGTACTTTCAGAACCGAAAACATGTGCATTGGTCCCCGACACCATGCACGAGGCATCCCAAGCTTGAATCCACACCAAGCCGTTTTGGCCCGACGTTTACTGAGTCGCTGTGTGCCAATTCCTGGATGATCCGATTGCTTAACCATTGCGTTGAACCCAAAACAGCCTTCGCTCTGATTGTTTCCTCTCCAAGAGACGACGTGCCAGGGTAATTCGACTAGCACTCGCAATCAAGCGTGTGTTTACTTAGTCCCGGCACGCAGAAATTCAAAAGCGCCAACCACAGCACTAGCAGGGAACGCAATTGCAAAAGGTGTCGAGTTCAAAATTAGAATTAGGACAAGCCTTGGGCTCATCCTTGTGCGCGCCCTTGTGGGCCTGGACCCTCAAATGAAGAAAGTATCGTTCTCGGGGCTCTCAGTCGAGCAAGCCTCTATCAACCACGGTGGCGCGCGCATCTCATGTGCCAGTTCGGATGCGGTTCTGTTGCGGTAGTTTAGGATGTCTACTCTGGCTCCGGCTGAGAGCAGAGAGGACACAGAATCCAGGCAACCACCCAGAATGCCAAACATCAGAGGCGTAGCGTCGTAATGATGATATGCCAGCAACGTCAGTCGGGATGGGCTTACCCGATGCCTCACGCCCATGACGTTCATTAGAAGCCACCAGCCCGGCTCCCGGATCTGTACCCGGAACTGTTCATTCACATTCGCTCGAGCCTCCAGCAAGAGCGGCACGGAGTCGGCAGAGCCGCCTCCAGCGAACATGAGTGCGATGTGCAGAGAGTGCCGCAAGCTCACGTGCGGATTCAGAGCGAGCATCTCCTTCATGGCGCGCCCGCTTCCGCATGCACATGCAGCCATGAAAGGGGTCAGTCCCGGTATCCCTTGCTGATTGATATCGGCTCGAGCATGGCACAGCAGACGCACTCCAAGCGGATTATCTCCAGCACATGCCAGATGGAGGGCAGTGCCACCACCAACAAACTTGTAGCTCACCTGGGCTCTGGCGGACAGGAGCAGCTTAACAGCTTCGTTGTTGCCTAAGAAGGAGGCCATTCCCAGAGCCGTGATTTTGCCGAGCACGCCCATTTCTGCCTTGGGCTTGCTCGTGGACTGGTTTACATCCACGCTTCGGTCAAGAAGCGCCTGCAGCACCACGAGGTTGTTGCTCATTGCTGCGAAGCAAACGGGTGGCCATCCTTCAGAATCGCGCTCGAAAATGTTCCTGATGGGTTGGAGAGGAAATCGAGGATATGTATGTTAGTGGCATATGTAACTTTTGCTACCCGTAGATTTGGGGGCTAGGGGCTTTTGGTTGAACATCTCCTGAAGCCATTCTGATGTAGGAAACGATCCAGCATGAAGCCCTTGTCGTCAACACTGGGGTCGATCCGAGTCCGGAATCCCGGGATAAGGCCGTCAATGGGCTCCACGTCAAGAGCTCGGAAATACCGTGCGGCATGCGAGTTGAGAAGGAATCGGTAGTTGTGAAACTCTCGTTGTTCGAGGAAATGAAAAAGCTTCGACCAAACCATCTGGGTGATCATACGACCAATCCCCACTCTGTCAGCATCCAATGTAAACGCTCCTTCACCAGGTGCATCGCTCATTCTGTTTCCTGTCCACATAAGTGTCTGGTGCATCGCGCTCTCTATAACGATGACGTAGCCAGCGCCACGACTGCGCGTCGAAAGTTCACGTGCAGCTCTCTCTGTGCGACACCACCTGGGTTGGGCTGCAGGAATTCCACGTGTGACCGACTTGACTCCGGAACTCTTCTAAACGAAGCCTCAGGCCTACAGAAAATCGTCAGAAAGGGCTTCAAGACCTTTCAAGCTCAAACCTTGGGCCTGAAAAAGTCCTCATAAAATAAAAGCCCTACAAAACCAGGCTTGACGCCTCCTTCTTGGTATCCTCTACTCAGGTAGCAGTAGCAGACTGGAACACGCAAAAGCAAATCCATCTACATCCGGTGCACATTATACATGGTCACCCCCAAGAATGCCCAAACCCTCAACTGTACTGTGCACCTGAAAGACAGTCTCTTACTAAACGCAGTGCCAAACCATTAGTCAAGAGAACCGGACACCATTGCAACTTAGCCGCCCTCGTTCGCCCCAGGTTGCATGGCTCAGGGTGCGCTCCTGATCTCTGTGCTGGAATGCCGGGCACAGCACGATAAAGAACTCACATCTTGCCACGTACGAGGGAATGCTGTGAATGGCATTCTGGCGGACCAAAGATGCCTGGCCAGCAGCGTTCTGCGGGATGCTGAAGTAGTCATACCAGACGTGAAGACCGGATGCGAAATCATTGGCCGTAGGGCACCTTATGCGACCATTTAGGATTTCCGAACACACAGGAAGATACACCTTACTGGTTCCGGCCACCATGTTCTTCAGCGCATCTTGCAAGGTTCGCAGCTGCTCGAAGTATGGATCGGGGTGTGTGTCACTCAGCCACTGGTGCGACACGAACATGGCGTTTCCCATGCTCTCATCAAACTCTGTGACCACACCGGCGTCTAGCAGCTCCTCGTGCATCTTGACCTCTGTCATCTGCAAGAACGCATCGGCCGGCACGGTGTACATCGCAAAGGCGACGTCGCCTAGGTTTCAAGGTGCTTTTCGCTGAGCTGAGGCACTTCCGGCCATGGGCTCTGGTAGATAGCTGCTTGAGGAAATGCAGCAATTAGTTGGGGCGAAAATCACCAAACCTACAACCCGAAACAACGGAAGGAGCGCCTGAGCTGCCGCCTGAACGACTTCTGCCGGGCTTGCACAGCGACGAGGCAAACTTCTCAAGAGGCACGCTGGCCATGGCAATTTTAAAAACACACGTCTTCGGCTTCCGGAAGACCGACAAAGCCCGTCATCTTGGGTTAGAGCTACGATTTTGAGCCAGGAGTCTGCTGGAGCACACAGCCTAGGTCTCGCTTTGTGCCGGTTTGCGCCCACAGTTGGCACTGGAAGGCTGGTGATGCGTCAACATGTCCACCACAAATCTTGCTGCTGTAATGCAACACTAGTTACTAGTAGTATTGAGTTGGGCAGCAGCGAAAATTATTGGTGCTGATGGTGATGATGCGTTGGAGACGATGGTCGCGGTGATGATGATTGCAGGGTCCTGATGGCAGCTTTCGGATATTGGACAACAGTGCTATGGGCGATGTCGATCATGATTCATTAAGACAGTGCCGATGTGATAATGACGGAAAATACGAACATGAAATCTGACACAATGAGCCTGAATCAGGAGAAAGACAACACTGGTTCTGACAGCGATAGTAATGACGCAAACCAGAATGACTAGAAGTGTGAGTGATGCTATCCCCCGCGTGTGGTAACACTACGGGTTTCTTAAGTTCAAGGTCAAGTGTCAGCGCGAAGCCGTGCGGCATCGAAATCCTGCCGTTCTGAGGGGTCGTAAATTGGCGAAGCGGCGCTGGGTAAATCTTCGTTCCGCCACAGTCCCGTGTGTGTCCGCCGCCACAGCCTTGCAGATTTTGTGTGCATCTCGTGTCTCGGCATCTCAAAATCGTGCTCCACCACAGTCCTACGCTGCGTACCTTGGGTGCCAAATTCATGCCCTACCGCCACTGGCGGTGCGAATTTTGGACGGATGGTTTTGTCTTAGATCAGCTGCTGCGGCTGCTGCTGAAGATATATGAAGAAGAGGAAGTCGACATGCAAACAAAGGCGAAGATGAACCTGACCTTCTCAATGTGAACGAGCGTACAGCCAAATGCATGACGACGATCAGGGCCAGGATGACACTAACAACAATTATAGTTGCCTTTCCTTGTCTTGTTATTCTGAGAAATGAGAGAACTCAGGTGCTTCGTGCAGAAATCTTCGAGGATGCTCCAAGCTCCAGGCTCGCAATGGCCACGGAAACAATGCTCCGAAGCGGCACCTTTCTGAGCTGTGGTTCAGTGATTAGGGCTTGTGTGTTCAAGGATTCAGGATGTTTAGCTCCAAACTCCGCAGCAATTTTCACCCAGGAAATAACCTAAAGCCTGCGACATCGACTCTGAAAGAATATCTCTGTGTGTTTGTGTCTGTTTGCACAATACGGGCAGTACACATCGGGGTGAGGCGATGCTATACATATAAGGTAAAGCTGAGCTAGGATGATGGCCACAAGGGCATGCTTCCTCTGCAAGCGCCGGCCTTTCAGGTTTGGGAGTTCTGCAAAACTAGGCCGCCCAAAACAAAGCTCGAGTCCACTACGCCTCCACCATCGTCTTCGGATCAAACCTGGGTCAGAGGCAAAGTACCGCTTCCAAGGATTTCTACTAGCTAGCACATAGTCTCTACGAAAATATCCTCGGTATGCAGATGACTGAGAGTCTTCTCTCAGTGTTCATCGTGAACCAGGACCATAGTTGACTAGCGAAGAAGCGGTAGGCCAATGCAGTTTGCTCTCAGTGTCCAAGCATCGTTGTGGTTGGTTGACTACCGTGGAGTGAAACAATTTGGCAGCTGATCTTCTATCACCGACCGCCCCGGCCAGAACCCGTCAACCATATCGATCTTCTGCACAGGCATGTTCCACTTTTTTTTCTCTCTCGCTCTCTCCCTCTCTCTCCCTCTCCCTCCCTGAGATGGATGAAGTATCCTCCAAAAGCACACAAGCACACCATCCTTTTGACTGGCCAATTTGTACTATGTATTAAGTTATGTGCTTATATAATATATATATATATGTA